TATCTATTAGAACTCTCTAACTAGATCGAGGTTTTTACTAATTACTAGAACTTAATAAGTTTTATAATAACTAAGAAACTTAACTAATAATAAGTATAATAGATAGAGATACTAGCCTAGTTTAACTTTAAGATTACGTACCGCGCAGGAACGCTTAATAAAGCTGTAGACGCTTTAAGTAGAAGGTCTAATTTACGCAAAGAGAGTTATAAGGAACTATATAATGTCTTACTTAAGATAATACCTAATAGTAGTCTAAAGTATAACTAGCTAGAACTAGCTAAGATAGCTAAGGTAGCTGAGTAAGTAGAAACGTTACAGCAGAAATAGTAGTAATAAGCAGCTAGCTAGTAGTTCGAGCCCGACAAAGTAGGCTCTAACGAACTATTAAATAATAAATAAGAGTACTAAGATATAGTTTTAATAAATTAAATATATATATCTCTATATATAAGATTAAGTCTTATATAGGAACTATATAAGTCTCTAGAATATAGATACATAGAAATTAAAGAAATAGTTAGATAATTAGCTAAGGTATTTATAATACTACGCTTACGAGCGAAGGTATAGGAAATACTAAGTAACTATTTAGTATATTACTAGAATAAGTCTAAGAGATATAAGCTCTACGGCCTACTATAACCTTTATAGCTGCTATTAAGACTATAGATAAGCGTAATAATAGACTTTATAGTAAAGCTTCTAAGATCGTTATAACTAGAATTAGCTTAATTTTGCGATATAATCCTAGTAATCATAAACCAATTAACTAAAGTAGTAAAATTTATACTTATAGAAGAAACTATTATAGTAGACGAATATGTATATAAAGTTACTAAAGTACTAGTATTAGAATATAGAATATCTAAAGAGTTTATTACTAATCGTAATAAACTATTTACGTCTAAATACTAGAATATATTTCTAGCGAAGTTAAGTATTAAGAAGAAGCTTTTAATAAGCTTTTACTTAGAAATAGATAGCTAGATAGAACGCACGAACTAGACATTAGAACAGTACCTATAGATATATACTAATAAATTATAGAATAACTAGATAGAGTTACTACTAATAGCGTAATTAGTATATAATAGTATAAAATCTATAATAATAAAGTATTTGCTGTATTACGTAAACTATAGATATAAGCCGACTACTTATTAAGATCTAAAAGATATAAAAAGTATTATAGTAGAAGTAGACGATAAAGTAAAGCTTATGTAAGAATTATACGAAGAATTAAGTAAGAATATAGCTTAATAGAACCTTATAATATCTAAAGTAGCGAATAAACTAAGAATTAAAGAACTAACCTTTAAGAAGAGGGATAAAGTTTTCCTATTATAATAAAACCTAAAAACTAAACGACTATATAGAAAATTAGATAACCTCTAAATAGAATTATTTAAAATCTTAGAGAAAATAAGAAAAGTAAACTATAAGTTAAAACTTCTATAAGGTATATAAATCTACCCCGTCTTTTATAAGAAACTTCTAGAACTAGCACCTCTAGATACTAAGCTAGTAACGAATATAGAGCTTAAAGACAACAAATATAAGGTTAAGAAAATTAAGAACCTACGGAAAATTAGTAGTTAGTAGAAGTACTTAGTTAAGTAGTAAGGATAGCCTAAGAGCTATAATACTTAGGAACCTAAAGAAAATCTAATAAACTATAAGTTACTAGTACGTAAATACTACTAGAAGCACCTAGAGAAATAAGGGGTAAACTCTTAGAGAAAAGAAAGGAGTAGTTAAAAGAAGGATTAAAGGAGTCAGCCTATAACTAGCCTAGATTAGCCAACGGTTTAGATAGTAGTAGTTTAATAACAGGAAGGCCTGTACTTAGGGCGGAGTTCCCCTTAGCCTACTTTTTCGCCTAGTCTTAGAGACTTAGAATAGTATAATCGCGATTAGTAAACTCTCTCTTCTGCGTCTTAACCTCTAGAAGCTTATAACAGAGACGGGTAGTCTCTATTATAGCTTAAAGTTAGCGTTCCTTAGTATAGGCGATTTTAAGATGTTTTTACTATTTCTTAGCTTTAACCTTCTTCTACTCTTCCTTAGATATAAAAAGACTATAATTAGTAGAAATAGAAATATAACTAGTATAGCGACTAGTTACTATATCTATAAAATAGTAAAGATTCTTCTTCTTATAATGTTTATAATAGAAAGTTATCTTACGACCTTATTCTCTTATATAGTTAGTCTAGGCTTAATGCTAAGAAGTTAAATTCTAAGTATAGACGCGACGGTTTAACTAAATCTTTAGTATAGTTAGAAAGGCTACGGGGCAGAGACGGCTATAATAAGTAGGTAGGCTCTAACCTTATATATAGCCGGCGTCTTAACATATAGTATAGGAAAATAATATTCTAGAGTATTAAGACGATAACTCTAAGAGAGGAGGTAATGTTATAAGTAATAAGAAGGATTCTCTCCTTAATAAATAATAAGATGGCTGAAGGCCTATAGACGTCTACGTTAGAAGGTAATAATTATTGTAGGGCGAAGATCACGTGATTAGCTTTACGCTAAAACTAAGAAATCGGCGCTAGTATGTAAGAACACTCCCACACGTGACTAGGTATCTTTAAAGGCTTTAGAAGATATAAGGATTATTTCGTAAGAACTATAAAGCTAGAACTAGAAGCGACGAGAATATAAGGATAGATAGATTTCATTATTACTCTTATTATAGTTAACTTAAATTATACTTT